TCATGAAGCTATTGTTCTCCATTTGGATTTATGTTTTGTGGATGGTGGTTACTAACCATTCCTGATATATTTTTATGATGCTATTTTACTTAATATTCTTTGACATTACTAATTTGTTATTGATTAATGATCCTAATATTCTTTGACATTACTACTACCAGTCCCCGTGGATCATGGATATTAGAGCCTTATTATTTTTTAGTTTGCAAAGAAAAAACTTTTTGGTTGATACTTATGAAGTTAGAAGCTTTATATTAATATAAAGAGTTAGGGGGTAATCTTCCAATTTTATTTGAGTGATATACCTGAATGTGAACGTTGCACGCATCCAAACTGGTTAAATATTTTTCCTAGTTTTATTTTACAGGCAGCCAAACAATTCTTAGACAATTTCCATATATTATATTTATTGTACCATGCATTTTTCAAAATACATCATTCAACAACCCCTTAAAGATGTAAATTCGAATTGATTATTTCTTATATGCGAAGTTGTCGTGAATGGTAATTCTTCACCTGATTGTTGGAAATTATTTTACTTTCTTGTATGTTAAAGAATTATTCTGTTTTGCTTAGGTAGGCTATTTTTTCATCTTCTGTACCTGCGATAAAATTTGAAAGGTGCAGACTTGCATAAGATTTGTTGTGTGATTAAGTGGGGCCATCATTGATCCTAAATATTTCATTTTGAGGGAACTAAGAAGTTTAGAAATCTGATAACTTGATTATAAAGGAACTACATCTGATAACTTCTTATATGCTCTTTATGTAAGGATTTTAATAAAATGGATTTTAACAATATACTCTCTATTTTCTTATATTTCTTATATACTCTTGTAAATCCAATGTGTTAAAATCCATTGTGTTAAAATCAATTTTAACACAATGTGATAACTTCTTATAGACTCTTTATGTAATGGATTATAAAGGAACTATGATACAATTATAAACATTTCTCGCCATTTTTAATCTAATTAGATACTTACATGAAATTTAAATTTAAATTCTGGAAAATTGTTAAAATCCATTGTGTTAGTTAAGAATGGCGAGAAATGTTTATACTAAAGGTCATGTAGGCCCGGGTGTGAAAGATATTGGAATCAATAAAAATTAACAAGGATAGAGTTTGATTCGTTTATGAAATAGTTTATGCTTGTTGGGTGGGTGTTTTCCTAACCAGCCCAAGTGGCAGAGAAAAGCAAAGTGGAATGGGAAGAGGAAAGCCAGCTTTGTTTTTGAAACTAATGCAATTGAGTTGCCTTGCCTTGGACGACAAGTTAGGAACCAGTTCATGTTTATCTACAATACTGAGTAATACCTTGATTTTAATTTTTTTTCTATTCAAAGTTTGGATAGGCGCACTTGGGAACAGCTAACTACATTGTGTTCTTAAAAGTTGTTTGCCAATTTAGAATAAGGAGGAAATTTTGTGGAGAAAATAAAAGTTAGTTTTGTTAATTATGTCTATCTAGCTTATTGTCTTTTTTATTTTTCATTTTTTGCTCTTTCATATTCAAATTTCAATTGCAATTTGAGGCTCTTGGATCTCGACACCCTCCAAGTTTAGGCCATTTACTCTTGTAAATGAGCAATTTTCTTCTTCTTTGTTCATTAGGTTTTTTTTTTACTCGCAATCATAGGCTACTGGTAGGCTAGGACAGTTCTTGTACATTTATTGTGGATCATCTTGTGTTATTTATCAAGGAGCCTTTGACCCTTGTTGAGATCCTCTAATCTAATGGTTTTTTCAATTTCCCTTGAATGTCGAACAATGGATTCACCAATTTTATATTTTTTTTTTTCTAATTTTATTTTGAATTCCCTAAATGTGGAATAAATATTTTATAGCATACACCTAGTGATAGAACTTTTCTAGCTACTTCACCAACAAAATCTCCGGAAAAACAAATCTAAGAGCACATTGCCCCAATGGCCTTATAAATATTACTCTTTTAAGTCCAATTTATTAAATAGGATTTTCGATGCTTGATAATGAATCGACCCTCGTTTTTAGCCAAATTCATGGAACACTGTCATTGTCAGTCCTAAGCCCAAATGTGAAAAGTGGAGGATTGTGCTAGGTAGTCGACAGCCAGTGTAAAACTTGTGAAAATAATCATGATCCTTTTGATCATTGTGTAAGCCCTAATTCAAAATAGCGTAATAAGGCTCGATTTCAGTTGTTACTTGTGGTGAAAAAGTTCTTTCCAGCTTTCTCACAAGGATGGTATAAGATCTATCTTTGTCACTCATTTTATTTCAATATCTTCTTCTCTTGTAGTGGTGCTGATCTTTTCTTCTTCTTCCTTTTTTGGCCGATTCTTTTTATGTAATTTTGAATAATCCTTGATCTTATGTTTGGGCTTTTTGTTGTAACAATAGGGTATTTTGTTGTCTAATTGTTTGGGCTAATCCTTTTGTCATATTTCTTTTAACAATCATAGGCTTGGATTTCTTTTCAATAAAAAGTTAATTGTTTTTTTTATAATGGTCTAATTGGGATAGTTTTTTTTCATAAATTTTGTTTATAGATAGCTACCACCCTTTTATTTGGTTACATATTTTTGTTTCTTTTTAGAAATTTCTGTTGTAAGAAGTTGTATCTCCTAGACGGTGGTAGTTTTAAATAAATCGTCATCCAATTTTCTTAGAATGATTAAAGTAAATAATACTCACAATTACTATTTAGAAATGTGTTAGTTCTAAATAAAGACAAATATTTTCATAGAGAGTTACAATCACTCCAGATGAGCCCTCAGTGTAATAGCTTTTGTATTACTTTCATAGACTTTAACATTTGGAAAGAACTTCAATAATATATGTAGAGATTGAGGAATAATTGATTTATATTTTGTTAATATGAATTTTTATATTTAATTAAAGTAGTTTCCTGCCTCAATATTTCATATTGCACGTTTTATTTGTTATCTTGTTTCAAATTCTATCTCCAAAAATAATTATCTTTTTGTGTTTGATTAGGTTAAATTGAATTTTTAACAAAATTTTAGACATTGATCTTGTTAAGGTTGATAGACCATAGCTTTTAGATTTTGTGTTTTATCACATTAAAGAATGTGGATAATTTTAATGAGTAAATGCAATTTTTTTCTATCAGGATTATCATAAATCATAAAATATATTTCTTGAAGCTTGAACTAA